AAATAAAGAAAGGAACGAGACAAGGCTGCCCATTATCACCATTACTTTTTGTCTCAACATTAGAAGTCTTAAATAGAAATGTCAGAGAAGGAAAACAAATAAAGGGAATGAAAATCAAAAAAGGAAGAATACAAGCTACAAGCATTTGCAGATGACTTGGTCTTCATTCTAGAGGATCCATTAGAAACTGCACCTAAATTGATAGAAAGAATAGAAAAATATGGAAAAGTAGCAGGATTAAAAATAAATAAAGACAAAATGAAGATCTTGACAACAAGACAAAAAGAGTTGGCAGAAACCTTCGAGATGCAAGTTACGAACAAGATTAAATATTTGGGGATATATTTAACAGCAAGATGCAGCACTCTTAAAGACAATAATGACTATAAACTTAAACAACAGATCGCAATGGACCTGAAAAAATGGGAAAATCTACAACTTTCAATGATAGGAAGAATATTTACAATTAAAATGAATATTCTACCTAGAATTTTATATGTGTTCCAGACGATTCCAATTAGACTAGGGAAGAAATATTTTGATGAATTAAATAAAATAGTCTTGAAATAGATATGGCAGGGGGGGGAAGCAAAAATAAAACTAAAATTGTTACAAGATGCAAGAACAAGAGGAGGATTTTGGCCTTCATTTTCGAACATTTTTTGCCCGAAAAATGTTTTTCCTAGTGAAAAACAACCCAACATGCAAATCGGATGTTCGGGAACTAACTTCCAGGTTGCCCGTCGGGCCATTTTTCGCTCTCCAGAGACTTCCAGACACTTTCAGAGAAACCTCCTGAGGGTAAAAAAAATGGCCCGATGGACAACCCAGAAGTCAGAAAACAGGCCTGCAAGGGGGGCCATTTTCACCCTCCCCAGGCTCCTAGAAAGCCTCAGGAGCCTGGGGAGGGCAAAAAACGGGTCCACTGTGCCATCGCGTGCTGAAAGCGGGGAGGGGGCAGGGGTGGGTCGCACACGCATGCACAGGGGGCATCACATGACCTGCGTGAGGGGAGGATACTTGCTCATCCGATCCCGCCGCACTCCCCCCACTTTTGGCACACGATTGCAAAAAAGTTAGCATCACTGCCATAAACCTTGAAATTACTATTTATTCATAAAATATTTTAACCCAAGTTCTCAAAAACAATCAGTTATTGTTAGATTAAAAGTTCTTATTTTTAAATATATCATTTTACTTAATAAGAACCAAGAGCCTTTCTTTCTCAGTGGCAGCCCCTTACTTTTCAAGCAATTTTCCACCATAAAAACAGTTGGCCCTGCAGGGCTTTAGAAGGCAATTAAGACCTGGGTGTTTGTCCAAGCACTTGGTTCAGAATAAACCAAGCTCCCCTGCTTTGTAGGGGGAGTCCTAGATTCTGGTAGCCATTTAAGGGTTTTATTTTATTTTAGTAGCTTGTACTGTTTTTCTTCTGAATTTTTGTTTATTTAATTAAGAGTCACAAGTTTTAAGATGGGCGGCTACATAAATGTTCTAAGTAAGTAAATAATAAGAGAAATGTAAATGAAATATATTTCAGAAATTAATGGAGAATTTACTTTATGTTTCCAGGAAACAGGAATTTTAACACATTGTAATTTTGATTAAGACAATTTATTCGTATTTAAAATAATTGTATAAAGCTGGTATATTTTTAATCTTAATAATTTTTGATAAAACACTTCATAGCGTGAATGTTTGTGTAATGAAAAAGACAGAAATGTTTAAAAGGTTGAAGGTATAATGCCTGAAATATAGTAACATATGGAAGGGAAAGCAATTGTTCTATGACTCATTCAGCAGCAGAAACATTACAAAATAAAACAAATAAATTTATAATTTATGCATCATATATATTAACAAACCTTTTCCGCTGCTTTACATTTTTTCAGCTTTCCTAGACAGAATTAATTACATATATCCCATGTTGCTTTTTGTTTCCCATCTTTTCTTCGCTTCAAAACTGTAAAGAAATAAAAGTATATGTCAGTTTTAACTGAAGAACACTTCAGAAATTTTCAATGAAATTTCATTTAGCAGCAATGTCCAAATTATAACTAAGTTTTTAATACACCATCAAAGAAATAAGAAATATATAAATATTTGAATAATGTGTCAGTTGCACTAAAAATCCTACACAATAAACCATTCAAAGAAAAAGCCATGCTTAAAATTAAGCAAATATGATTCAATCTGAAGAAGAAAAACATTTAAGTCAAATTATCAACTAGCTGCAAAAAGAGATGCCCACTTACTTACCCCCATGCAAGTTTTTTCTTTTTTCGGGCCTCTTGAGTAACCTCTACATCTTGCTTGGCTTTCACAAAATTTCGGCAAGCAACAGCTTTTGCAATTTTTACACCAAGCTAAGAAAAAAAGAATATACGGGTAAGTCAGTCCACAGAAGTTAGATAAACTAAATTAGACAAAGCAAAAACAGTTTTAAAAAAAGATACTTGGGCAATGTTTGCATGGATCAAATTTGTTCTTTATCTACCATGGAAACTGACTATTTATATTCAGTGGATGGTGTGGTCATTTCTGATTTTGTAAAGTAAATGTGTATTATTTATCTAAAAGATAACATAAAAGCATACAACTGAAGCTAGCAATAGTCATGGTGGGCTGACTGAAATTATACATATTAAGCTACTTTTAGTTCTTCCAGCTGAAAATAAGGCGAAGGGGACCTTATAATACAAATTTATCTGTTAAAATCAAAATGGCCCTTGAGTTTTGTTTATACATATAATGCTTGGGAACTGGGAATGGATAGCTCTGACTGGAATTTTCTGACTTTCTTAAGTTGGATATACTAAAGAGGAGTTCTGGAAGACACAAAAAGGTTGGAATATGAACAATGTATGAAAGGTATAAAGAAAAAACCCAAGTGACCATCAAATTATGTTTTTAATAAGTATTGATGTAAACAGTAAATTTGTTATTCTTGGTTCATATTTTTCATAGAAACAAACTGTTCAATGAAGAACTTGAGGAAGGATATGCAAAGCCATTAGAGAAGAGCTACATACATGACGGAACATATATGATGGGTTAGGAGAAAAGAGGGAAAAATTCAGTGCATGCTAGGGTAAATATACATATGTATTTTATATAAACATTCACTTATTTGCATATACATATGCAAATGCAGAAAAGCAATCTTATATTCCTCAGGTATAACCCCCATCTATAATTTATTTTACAATTAGAAGACAAGTCTGTCTGTCTGTCTATTTCCTGGAAAAATGTGTTATCAAATCAAAGTAATCCCATCCTCCCAAAGATCTTGTGCAACCGCCCTGAGAGATTTCCTCACCTATCCAATGTATCTTTCACTGAAGAGCAAATCCTGGTGGAGTTTTATTTCATTAGCGCTCTACACAGAGAACCCCAGAAGCAAATATGCCAACATTTGGGAGGACATGACCATATGATCACTTTGCTTATGTTGCCAATCTCCCTATGAAAACGACATACTGTTTTCCTATATATTTCTTAATACTACATAAAAATAGTTATTTCATCCTGGAACTTCACTAACTGTTTCACTAAATCTCATTATCTCAAATTTTCATAATTAATATTGAAGATTCCACAGCTCCTATACTATAGACTTGCAGTTTTATGAATACAGATGGTCCTTGACTTATGACTACAATTGAGCCTAAAATTTCTGCGGCTAAATGAAATGTTTGTTAAGTGAATTTTGCCCCATTTTACGACCTTTCTTGCTACAGTTGTTAAGTGAATCACTACAGTTGTTAAGTTGGTAGCATGGTTGTTAAGTGAATATGGCTTCCCCATTGACTTTGCTTGTCAGAAGGTTGCAAAAGGTGAAATATGAGTCAGTTGCCAAGTGTCTGAATTTTGATCAGGGGACCATGGGGATGCTGCAGTGGTCGTAAGTATGAAAAATGGTCAGAAGTCACTTTTTTCAGTGACACTGTAATTTTGAATGGACACTAAATGAACTGTTGTAAGTTGAGGATTACCTATACCCTCAAAGATAAAACTTATTATGAAAGGAATGAATGATTAACTTTAACGGAGTGGATTGAGAGTCTTTTACCAACACTAGAGGGCTACATCAGCTGAGCAATTTTGGTTCAGAGGGAAATGTTTAATATACAGTATCATTAACCTGGATCATTAAACTCATTTTAGACCAGGGAACTCATGTTTGTTATTTCCAACAAATCTAGCATTAAGTACCATGAAGTCTAAGGACACAAATGTCAGGTATGCTTTTTCCTGAAGTCTTCAAAACAATAAATGGCTTTCCTTAAATATTATTGCAATAGTTTTTTTTTAATACTCTATGTTGAAGTTTGATGCAGGGGTGGGTTTCAAATTTTTTTTACTACCGGTTCTGTGGGCATGGCTAGATGGGAGACATGTGACTGAGTGGGTGTGGCCAACTTGACATCACTCACGCACTCAGTCACATGACCACAACGGTGGCAAAACATTTTGGGACTCTGACGGAAGGAAGAGGGGGAGGAAAAGAGGGGAAAAACTCCCAAAAATAGACAGCCGGAGGATTTAGGCTGTGGAAAATCCATAAGTTTCCTAGAAGGAATTGAAGCATTCAACTTTGCAGCCTGGAAGCCACGCCTGTGTTTATAAATCCGGCGGGTGAGGGGGGGGGGAGAGAACAACAGGAAAGAAAGAGTGGGAGATAGGAAAAATGCAGGCAGAGGCGCTGGACTGGGCGGGCGGGCGGGAGGAAAGTTCACCTAATCCTGGCTCGGGACAAGGGGGGGGGGGAGAAGGAACTGACTACAACACTCAAAAACACCCTCAGGTGCAGCGGGAGCCGTGCAAATCGCAGAGTCCGGAAGTCAAAGTTCCCCATCCCACCAGTAGGGAAGCACTTCTCGATTGAGAAGCATTGTTGGTGTCTGCAGGCTCTCACTTTGCTTGCTGGCATGACCCTGACGATCGACTGCCTCCAGGCCACGTTCCACACTCCACAGCTAATGAGTGGCCGCTCCCGAGCATGCCGCTGATTGTGCCACCGCCTGTAAAAAGCTGATGATCGGCTGGTGTGGGCAGCGGGGAGCCATCCACCAGCAAGACAGACCCCTTCATGCTTATTCCTTCACCACCTCCACCTCTGGCGAGCCCTGCAATGGGACTTAACACCACATTCCACACACGTTTGTGCCCTGCAGTCGCTCGTGGCGCCCCCTCCCTACCCTGGGTTCCTCCTTTTGTGTTCCATTTTTGTGCCTTTGTGTGGAGGGAAGCAGGCCCCGCACAACATCCTGGCTGTGCGCTCTGGTCCACCCGAAGGCACAAAAATGAAATGCAAAAGGAGGAAACCGGGCACTTGTGCCCTGCAGTTGTGTGTGGTGCGCCCCCCACTCCAGGTTCCTCCTTTTATGTTCAGATTTCATGCCTTCTGGTGGAGCAGAGCACAGATCCACCCAAAGACACAAGTGGAGCACAAGGGCGCCTCTTCAAGTTTCTTGCTCCGGAACTTGGGATGCTGTCCTCTCCTGCTGACACCGACTTCTCCAACATGCTGTCCCCATCCCCACCATGACTGCAATGGCAGCGGCTTCAGGACATGCTGGCCGGTGGGCAGGGGGGCTAGGCTAGCGCAAATGCTTACCTGCGTAGGCAGGAGGCGGCAATTCTGTGGATGTACGTGGCAAAGGCAAGGCAAGCATCGGCGTGGGCCGGTTCAGGGGCCAGCCGTAACTACCAGTTCAGCAGCCTATGCCAAATTACCACTGCCAAACCGGAAGCAACCCACCTCTGGGTTTCTGGTTTTCAGCAAGACCAATGTAAAATGTGGTTATGTGATTTTGGGATGCTGCCAACTTTGCTGCCAAGCACCTTGAGTGCAGTGAGTATGTCTGTGAGGAGGAGGGGTGGCCATTGGAGTTTTGAATCTGGACTTTAACAAGAATCATGTCCACTGAGTTTTATGGCCCTTATTCTTAGATAAAAGTTCAATATACTAACATAAATTACACATATAGTAATGGTATCAACTATTAACCCAAATATTCAGAACTTAATATACCTGGCACATGTTATATTTAAAATGTCATATCCATATTCCCATATTTCTGCCATTAGACTGTCTGAAAAGATTTAATAATATTTAATAGCCTAATTGTGATATAGACCCAAGCATTTACATGAGGCCCTACAGGTGCAGCTCTTCTGTCTTTCAATATTACCAATAGGGCTTATATAAATTCTTTGCGTTGCTATCGTTTGTTTTGGTTTCTTAGGAATACAATAATTCAGTGTAATTACCAAAGCATAGATTCAAAAGGGCTTACATAGTTAAGAGAAGGAAAAAAGGTCCTTATAATTTAATAACTAAAAGTGATATTCCTGTTTCAGTAAAACAACATTACAGAATATCAAAAGTAACTTTTAAAAGACAAATGCAAATTAACTGCAGAGAAAGTGCATAAAATAAATCACTATGACTATACTTTAGTGAAATGAACATTTTATGCTTCCATATACACTCATGCATGTTTCACTTCCCATTTTAACAGGGCCCGCCAAATCTTGGTCAATAGGTTTTATATTTTTTTAAAAGGTCATCAGATAATATAGCAAGCTGCAATGGTATAAGAAGCAATAAAACATGAATAAAAATACATACAACACTTTCTTATGTAGTCAAAGTATCAGCATTTTCCATATAGAACATCCAATATTTTGCTGCATTTTAATTAAGGTGTCTAAACATTATCACAAAGAACTGCAAATTGGTCAGAGCATGCAGTAAAGAAAATTAAGCTCTAAAGGCTTTTTATCACCACATTTCAGGAACCAAGGGTGTAAAATGTTCTAATTTGGGATATATTAAAAGCCATAAAAGGTCTTTCAAAAAGATTAATGGTACTTTGCTTGGATTTAAGATAAGGGCTTTAGCTGGTTGGAAAAGCAGGGCCCTGGCTAGACCCTTGAGGCATTCATCTTTACAGCCACTTGGAAGATTTGTAAAAGCGTCTGCATAACCTCAAGCAAATGCATTGCGACATTTTTTTTAAAAAAAATCCTGTCAATTTTATAGGTTTAATATGTGGAAGTTGTATTGGGAGTAATGTTGATATAGTGATTCATCTTCATTACCATTTTTAAGAGGCAAACTTTTTTAATCAAGTAAGTTTTCTATGAGGCAAAAAGCATTCATTCATATTGAAGTTCAAAGATAATCATTTCAGAAATCTTGCTCCAGCAGCTTAAAGAGCAGAGCACATATTTCCCATCCATTATTTTTCACAAAGAAAAGCTAAATAGCTATCAAGAATACCTGGTGACAATTTTTAAAATCTTCATTTTCTGCCAAACAGTTTGAAGGTTGTTTTTTTTAAAAAAAGAGCCAATT